AATCGATGAGATGATTAATTACACACACTGCTAGGATAGTGGCACTAAGATGCCTAGTCCCAGCCTGCCATTAAACTGCTCTTCAGCCATCCTCCCCTCACCTTCAAGACAGCCTATTCCGATTTGGTTAGGAAAAAACGCAGTACACTAACACAAACATCAGGTCAATTAACATGACTTATGTAAGTTGCTGCTTTAAAATGATGAAAGATTCAGGTTCCTGATTCAATTGGCTGCCCAGGACCCCAGGCCCCAACATCCAGTGAGAGGTTCCTGCACAGGGCAATTTCTCCAGCACCACGAGGCTTCTGCAAGTGAAGGGGCTCGTAGCAAATCACCTCACAAGAGGTTTGTGTCCTTGTCATTCAGATGCAGTAACWGCCCAAAGTCAGACCAACCCAATGGAAAAAATGAGATAAGAGAAGACAAAGCAGCAGTTATTCCCCTATAAGCCCTCAACTCGATACCATTAATGCAGAACTCAGATTTTAAGATTAATCACAGTAGAGCTATATATTTTATGAATTTTAGTCCTAATAATTGGGGCAACTAACATGCACATTATTGAATTAATGTTTTCACAGTTTGTTACTGCTGAACATTTCAATCTTTCACAACGGAAACTTCAGAGTAAGGTTTAGAGCAACCCAGTCCTATTCTACAAAAAAAGGCAGGTTTTTGCCTCAAACAACAACATTATCAGAGATGAGTACATGCAAGCATATATGTATATATAAACACAATTGATGATGCATGTGCTAGGGAGAGCAGTGGCCAGCAGAGAGGAGCACAAAGCTGGGCAGTGCTGTGAGGGTTAAGGGGTAAAGGAACCAGCTTCCTTCTCAGGGACCACTCCAGAAGAGCCATGGATTTGGGAATGATTCAAGACACACCTTAACAAGCCTCCTCCTAGGCACTGCTTGCATGGTATCAGTAAGAAATTAACTCATACAAAGCCACCGCATGGGCATATCGGGATGTTCTTTACATAACCAAAGGTTAATGCACATTCTGCTTCGACTTAAATACTCACAATTCCTGGTGCTTCTGCTAGGGAATACAAAGAAAAAATGAACTTTGGCCCTGCAACTTAAAAACACCATATTCCACATCCATGCTCTCAAATTCAGCTGAAGGAAATGCAACTAGAAATGCAACTATCACCTATGATGTACATACATTATAACTGCAGCATGCAAGTTTTATAATGAAAAGGCAAAAGGCTTTCAAGTTTACCCCCAGAATTAGTGACTAGTTTTAGACCGAGACCAAAGTACAAAGCAGACTACGTACACTCACGTTACAATTTTCAAATACTCGGAGGAGAAAATTTTCATTATTGCTAAGTCAGATGTAAATTAAGAACAGTAGATTTCAGACAGAATGTCAGCAGTAACAGGCTTGAATTTCAGAAGAAGGAAATCTATTAACTGTGTTCAAAGAGAAGGTATTTAATTGAGGAATAACAGGGGTTTGCAATATGGTCAGTTAACTCTCAGAGAGCCAAAGCGCTGTTTCCTACAAAGGAGGTTCCTGCTAAAGAGTCACACAAGCACTGATTTTTCAACTCCGAGAATTCCACCCATTCCTCCAAAAAGTTTGTTCAGTTTTATTAAAATATCCTGTGTTCTCCCCARCACACATACCTAGAACTGAGGTAAATCAGAGGAACTGGAGATAAACAATGCAAAGTACAGAAAAAGCTGCAATTCTTTTAGAATTAAGAAATACTGGATAAACACAATGCTAGCTAACGTAACTAAATAGCACCAACATTTCAGAATACARAACAATTAAACCTGATGAAGGAGTGACAGGTTCTTTTGCTAGAGAACATTTTTAGACCGCAATTTAGGAATCCAAAATTCATGGAAGTAAATGGAAAGGAGGCTTATCGATCTTAAACTGCAAATTTAAAGCCTTTCAGTGCCTAGATSAGCTATTTCCTCATGGGTGGGAAACTTAAAATCTCACATAGGTATGTTGTAAGGTGCATGTTATGGCACAATGCGCATTTATAAGAACTGGGATACATATTGCAAYCTATCAGATCAAGTTTATCTTTGAAAAATAAGGCAGCCTCAGGCTATCAGACTTTTATGGCTGTGTATTTTCATTGTCTTATGGCTATTTCAGAGTTTACAAGGAAGCCTTGATCTCATTTTTCTCCTGAGAAGTAGAAAAATATGTCATAAATGAGGAGGGAAAAAAAAGAGCACTGCAGCACAAAGACACTCATTCACCATCTTTAAACCTCCTGCCAATGTGAATTACCAGGGAAGAAAAAAAAAAGATGCTTTTAGTCTTTTAACAGAAAATAAATTCAATGTTCCTGCAGGAACCCTGATGAAACAAGCTTTAAAGGCAAACTCTTGAAAAATGTAATTGTGCATTATTTAGACCAGCGTGAGCTCTATCTGGTGGCAGCACGGTGTAGTGCAGAGGCCAGCACCACAACCTGCTTTTGTTCTGCAGAGTTAGTCCACATGCGCTCAAGATAAAAAGGCARCAATCGTGTTAGCCCTTGCTAGGCCAGATCCAGTGCTCCAGATTAGAATTTGATAGTTACCCTGGGATGTCAGCATCACCTCAAAAATATAGAAAGAGATTTATTTAAACAAAAGACAGAAATCAGAAGTGCCACACCAACTTGCCCGTAAGATACAAAGTAAGCAGCCCACAGTTTCCACTGCATTTCAGCTCCTCAACCTAAGCCTACCTTCAGCCTTTGGGAGGCCAGGACCTTCCCTCGTATCTGCAAATCTGCAWCACCGGAGATGAAGAAAAAATAATGTATTTGCTAAAGAACATATACTGAGGWCATTTCTCACCAAAAAAGATTGCACAACCACTTCTCACATCATTTGTGACAAGTTCTGTGACCAAAATCTCATCTCCAAGACTAAACTCCATCACTAGATTCCTCACTGGAGGTTTTCCTGCTTTACTTGGCTTTCTGTAGTGCATTCCAATGTATTTAAAGTGACATCCATTTTGTTTACTCAAAAATCAAAATCCAGAGGCTGCATCTTTGCAAGAAAATGCTCTGTGAAATTCACTGAGGTACATTTCAACAGTGCACAAAAAATGTGTGGCCTTTTTAAACACTAATCACTTTTTAAACACTAACTACTTGCCCAAAAGAATCAAGTACTGTCATTTGCCCTGCCACAAATGTTCGGTTTTGCTCTGGGGACTCAGCTGCATCTGGAAGTGCATTTATGAGTTAGCCTGCAAGCCTGTGCTGCTTGATGGACTTGGGGAAGCTGGAGAACTTCTTCAGACAAGAATCCAACTCTAAATGCAGGTGTAGCTTGGGACGTGATCATGTTTTCTTGCTTGAAGTGAAAATAGGCAGCTGCAATATTTTAGCAATCAAAAAAGTAATAGAGCAACAATTTTGATGCAGGATTTGGACCAGATCCCTTATGACTAGACATTGCAGATAGCAGGAGCCTGCAAAACCCCACAGCAAATCAATACTTGCTGGTCAAAAGGAAGCAATTTATCTTGCAACTTTTCCAAAAAAGTCCTCACTCATTTGTCACAAATMAGCCCATTCTTGCCTCAAATTCTTACTGAGAAACATTACACTTACTGAACAAAATAAGTTCCTGCAATCATTTCTGCCTTTTTTTCTCTTGTAAGATCTCTGTAAGCAAACATCTGTGCTTATAAAATCCACAACAGAATATTTCTCTAGAGGTTTCCACCTTTCACAACACAAACATTGTGCAGTGCCATTCCAACCTAGACCCTCTGATGACTCCACAGCCCTTCAGCCCTAAATAACTTGGCATCACCCATTAACAATGACCCCCCACACCCCAACTAACACGCAGCTGCCTGCAGCAAAGGGAGCTGCTGAAGAGATGCACTTCAAAAGGAGTGATGGTTAATTCCCCATTTAAAGGCCTAAATAACACGCTTTGGGATGAAAACCCTACATTTGTATTCTGGTAGTTCCAGCCTTCTCTCCAGTTTTAACACAGGATCATCAGGGGCTAATTGTCTGGAAACACAGCTGATGGCAAGAGCTACTCAGCCTATAATCTGCCCTTCATTAAGGCTCCTCAGGGGGCTTGGGAGCCCAAGGGCAGCAGCCACACTGAACCCGGGCATTTTTAGCCAGGAGCAAGTGCTCAAGTTAGCAGCGGAACGAGAGGGCAGTTATGAGGAATCTCCTGGATGTTCCCAGTCCCAGAAGTTCCCCATCAAAACAGCAAGTGCTAGAAAGGAGGCACCCAGCATGGTATGCTCTCAGGGATGCATCTGGAGCCCTTGTTCCCGGCAGCAGATGAACAGAGACACAACAATGCTATGCGAGAAAGGCTATTAATTAAAAAAATCAAGGAAAATAAATCATCTGGAGAGTTCCCTAGTCAGCAGTGTCTTCTTATCCTTCTAYTTATACCAAAAGTAAAGACCACCCCAAACAGCATAAAACAAGCATTAAAAAAACACTTTCTTTGCCTTAATTTAAGCACGGCAATGAGCTCAACAGTATTTGAGGAGCCCCTGGGCAAAGCACCAGGCTTTGCTGGGCCACTCGGCTGGCTCCAGCAACTCAGGCAGAGCAGAAATAGGCTCAGACCTGAGCACCCCCAAAGGAAACACGCTCTGGGTGGCACTCTCGGTGACAGCAAATTGGCAAAATCGATTTAAACCGAAGCAATTCACACCCAAGGCTGCTCATCTTCAGCTCCCGAAGTGCAGAAGCCGGGTTGCTGCTCACGCCCGGTGCGGACAGAAGGGACTGCAGGTCAACCAGAGTTTCCCCCCAGGTAAGAGGGAACGGTTCATAAGAGCAGCAAGCAAGAACTCGATTTCCCCAAGCGTGGCGGGCGCAGCAGGAGCCGCGGGCGCCTCGCGGAGCGGGGACGCGCCGACGCCTCATGACGCCTCATGGCGCCCGCGGGTCCCCGCTCCGCGAGGCGCCCACGGGGCCGCTCCGGCCGCCGCCCCCCCAGCCCCACGCGGCCCCGTCCCCGCGCACTCACATGCCCGGCCGCAGCGCCCAGCTGAGGCACCACCAGAGCGGCAGCGGCGCCAGGGCCGCGCCGGGGGCCATGGCGAACGATCCGCGGCCCCTCCGCGCGCGCGGGACAAGCGGCGCCGCCGCGGCCGCGTTTTAAGCGGCGGCGCCGCTCGTCACTGGCCGCGAGCCGCGGACCGCCCCCCGGCTCCGCCCCGCTCCGCTACCGGTGCCGCTCTCGGATAAGGGATCGTTTCTCTTCGCCCTGAGGYGGAGGGAGGCTGGAAGTGGGGTTGGGCATCCACTTTTAGGGTCGYGCCTTGCGGGTTTCGTTTCACGAGGGTCCTGAAACTACCCAGCCACGGGCTCGGGAGGAGCAGATTCACCCCCCTTGGCTTCCCAAGGGAGATTCCCATCCATTCCCTTGGGATGGGGAAAGTCTCGGGCCGGCTCCTGTGCAGGTTGTGGCATAGGGAGCTTTATGGAGACACCAACTCCTCAGGTTTGGGCTCAGTCCAGCTTTGCACAAATCGGCATCAATCGGTCTTCCCTSTGGTCGTGTGACAGGGTACCCCGGCTTCTGTTTTATACAGATTTTATGAGCACAGTTCTGTGTGTGGTTTTTATTTCCAGGAGCTCTGCTAAAATGTTTGCTAATTGTAACAGGATTTTTCTTTATTCTGCTTGTTGCTTTGAAGCTCTTAATGACACAATCCGCTTGAGATTGTATCGCTCATTTATTTTTCAAGTTAAARAAAACATATAGGCCTTATCTGACCTTAGAGTGGATTAATTGTACCCCGAAACTTCCRCTGAAGGGCTAAACCTTCCTTGTATCCGGAGTAGCCTTAACTCTGCAGGACCTTGTGTCGAGCTAATCTCATTACCTCCTACAGAGCACACAGTTTTCTAATCATTTTATTTCTTAAACCCCAGAAAATCTCTCTTCATAAAATAACAGACCATCTTTATGTCGAGGCAGAGCGTTAATTATGCCCTGATTTGGACCAGCAACATGAAAACTGGGAGTTACTAAAGTGAAGTATTCTCAGCATCTTCCTTGGTGAAGGCCACGTCGTAATGGATGAGAGCTTTGCGGTTTGAAACCTGCCCAGAGAGACTGGCTTTAGCTGCTGCGTCCCATGCACTGAAATGTGAACCCAGTTTGTGCTATCTGCCCCCTTCCAAATATTATCTAATGTTTCATCCTCAGCTGTGTTTTAATTGAGAACATCCTGCAAAGCTGTTGACTTGAATGGGATGATTCACACCAGTAAGAGTTGCGGGGAACCAACATTTGTGAAGGYCGTTTCCAAAGCCCATTGAGATAATTGATCCGACTGTCCCCACGCCAGTTAAATCTTCGAACCTGACGCAGATAATACAGTGCGAAAGGCAGGCTCATTTATTCTTGTTCTTGCAGGGTGACAGTGGGAAATGTCCAGAAAAAAAGGGTAGTGGATTTAGCTCTAGTGACTTCTTTACATTCCGCATCCCCACATGACCAACTAGACATGTGCTTACTGTCACGAAACGTATYTGCTACACATCTGTGTATCTTTGATCCTGATTCCCCTTGGTGATTTTGCTCAGGTGAGTTTTAATCTGAGCCAATTGCGTAAAATACAAATTGACAGAAGGGGCATCCCATTMCCTGTGCATAGTGCCAAAGGACTTTCTATGGAATGTAAAACACACTCTTTTCATTATTCCCTTCTCTTGTTGATTAGATTCCAGTGCTAAGCACTGTCAAATTTGGTATATTGCTTACATCRCTGTCCAGACCATGAATTCTCTAGAAAACTTGGTATTTCTCACATGAAGCTCATTTCACCCACTCCATTTTAAAGCTTATTTCCATCTCCACTAGCACCTTGACTTCCATTTATGATTTTATCTTGCGACAGGGACACTGTGAAAGATGTTGTGCATCCCCAAGCATGAACGAGTCAACCCACTACTGTGAGTGTGTCACACGCCACGCTCCTCTATTTTAATTTTTCTGTCTAATCCTCAATACCTCGATTTCCAGTCTTTTTAAATCGTAGCTAGTTACAGGATTTAACATTCCCTTCTGATAGAAAGAAATTCTCGTGCAGAGATTGTAATTAGAAAGACTGTGCTGTGTTCTGTTATTATCAAGAATTGTGATTTTTAGAGTGGTGGGTTAATTGCTAATAACCATATGCAATGCTTCTCTCAAGATGTTTCCCATTACAGTAATTAACTTAGCAGCTGGGGTAACAGACATTTGCCATTTGTCTTCACAGTATCCCTGATCCAAAAGCCTATTTGGACTTTGGTTGTTCAGTTCCCAGGGATAGGATGAAAAAGAGGGGAWGCTGAGAGAGCAGGAAGGAACGAGTTGCTGGGCTAGTACCTGTTTTCGGATGCTAAGTGTTTATCACTGATTCCCTGGAATTCTGCTTTATTTCACTTGCCTGAGTTTTTGACCTTCATCTCCAGCAGTGCCACTGGGTGGCAAATCAGACTGAGAGTGGGAAAAAAAATGTCTGTACTGGTTACTCTGTTAGTCAGATTGCTCTAATTATTCCTTAATAATTCCTTAATAAAGGGTGGAAGGGACTGGAAAGAAAAGACAAGGTCTGAACAATTTGACTCTGCAGCAGTACCTCTGAAAGACGAAATGTTCAAATAAAGTATCTTTCTGACAATATAAGTAGAAATCTATTGATATTCAAGTCAGGATATTCAAGTCAGGCTCTGTAGGGAGCTATTACATCTGATTGAGAAAATAAAATGGTACCTACATTCACAATTACTCACATGAAGGCCACTGATCTCATTTCTTAGCTTTTCACTTCAGCATTAGTTAACCAGAAACCTACCAAGAATCCACTATTGACAATATAATCCTGAAATATGTGTTATGCTGGCACACAATAACAGTTGTGAATACTTCTATCTATTTCCGCTTTTGGATAATAACACTCTGTGAGTGGCCAATCCATCGTACATATATTGACATTAAAATCACACATATGGGAGGACTTGCACCTTCTCTGACCCACACAGGTGAGAGCCAGATGTGACTAATAAACTCGGTGGAGCTACTCCAGCGTCATGTCAATACAAAGAAGAGCACCAAGATTCAGAGCCATGCGCTCTTTTGCAGAGCCGTGCGAATATTACAAAATATTTTCCAGCAATAATTTTTTAACAGGAAAAAAATTTAACTGGAAATCTGTGTAGGCAACTGATTTAAATATTTAGCAGAGTACTGTATGCTCTTGTATTCACAGAAACCAAATATGRGGGGTTTATGGTGGAAGTGCTTACAAAATGGTGAGTGCTTACAAACTCATCCAGGCTGGAAGTACAGAGAGCACTTTGTGATTTATTGCAGTAATCAGAGACCGACAACAAAACCTGAATTTCGAGTGTCTTGATTTATCCAGAGAATAGCACATTTCACAAAGTTATTCTCAAAGTAAATTGAAACAAAGAAATATATGCCAAAAAAAAAAAATAAAGAATGTGATAAAAGAGGTCCGTTTTACACAATGAATTATTCATCGTGTTCTAACCATAGTTTAGTGAGTGTCAAGAAAAGACTATTGAGCTGCAAAGGAACAAACTCAGCTACCAGGAATAGGCAATAATAACACTCAGCAACTTCTGCATGTGAAACTACAGCCTTAACTAGCACTGGTGTTTCAAGTGCTCTAATTTATCCTCCAGGGTAGGCATCCCCCTCAAAATCTGGTTTTAAGATGTTAAAACTAGTAGCTCTAATCTACATCAATAAAAATGCAGTTGTGAAATATATCAAAGGAAAAAAAAAAAGAAAAAAGGCTCAGAAGTGGAATTCTCAAATTCTCCTCAGGGTTTCCCGGCCCCTTTGGAATCACTCATCTGTTTCTGACATCAGCTCCCAGGAAGATCTGCACTTTCTGCTCTAATTCAGTGCTGAGCCCACCACCAGTACTTAAAATACTAAAAATTGAACGAATAGATGTGGACAAGGGGGTCTCTGTTTGTTTTCAGTTAGGAGCTAATGAAATCCCAGCAATASCTTTCCACATAATGTGTCACACAGGATCCGGGCCGCAGTGCTGTGTTTCTAGGTCTAGGTTTCCCTGTCCGTCCTGCTGACGCAGCCAGAGCCCACTCCGTTCTCAGACAGACATTACAGCATCACTTTACTGGTTTTGCTCTAAATTACCTGCCTGACTCCTGTCACCATTGATCTCTTAAGTCCTTGACTGAGTAATCAGTCAGACAGCTAATTAATGTAGTGGCTTGGAGGCAAAGAATGGGGGAAAGATGAAATGAAAGAGGATTTTTTTCCCATATTCTTCATGTTTTTATTGCCTTTCAAAGGTGCTTTATCCATAGCTTAAAAGAGCAGTATTTGAAAGGTTTTAACTTTCTTTCTTTATAAGGGGCAGTTCACCTACAATGAACATATTAACTAATCATTAATAGAAGTCAGGAAAACTTCATGGGAATGATGGAATCCAAATTTGAGATTTTTTTTTCTTCTTTTTCTCCACCACACACTCTTATGGACTGCAGTACATTTTTTTTTTGTACGAATAGGAACTGCCAGGTCTGGACTATCCTTTCAGATGGTTTTGGAGCTTACTACCTTTTAAAATTTAGTTAACCTCCTCGCACTTTGAGATAAAGAAAAGCTATTCCCCTCCTTTCCTCCTCCTAACCTTTTGTCTTCCTACTAGACAAAAATGCCCCACGTGATCTACCAACTCAAAAGCTTATCTGGATTTTTCACACCAAAATGGGTCAAATTCAGATGCCAGAACTACTCTTTAAACAGCCCTATCCAACTTGATCCAATGTGTCTGAATCTAAAGACATGATCAAAGGAGACCTTCATGCTAAAATGTCTGTTTTCCAACCAGGGTTATTCGGAAGGTTTCTGTAGGCGTATTTTTCCTTTATGGTGCTAAAGTATTTGACTCATTAGCTTCCTCTAACTTCTAACCTTTTGGTGGTCTCTCTTCAAATATCAAGTCTAGAAGATGACTCCTTCCTGCTAGTCTTAGGACATTTGCACACTAGTCTTGGGCAGTTAGTCCTAGGATATTTGCAAGCTTTCCTCTGTACTTTCC